CGCGCTCTATCTAATGCACGAATTTGTTTTGACTCAAATATTTTTTGTTAAAATAAAGCAGCGTGGCGGAATCACACACCATCGACCAAGTTTATTTTTACGAAAAACCGAAATTCTTTCTTTTCTCGTTTCGTCTTCTTAAGCAGTTCTAAATGAACTAGATGCAGTTTAAATTGTTTCGCTTAATTGCACACAACGTTTTATGACTTTTTGTGTGATCTGGGTTTATTCACCAATAGCGTTTCTAATCGAGATTTTTGGTGGGTATATGCTAGACAACGAGTACTACACATCTATTGACTCAAAACAATTTTCGATCTAAGGAGGTCCGTGGCACGCCATTTTGGTGTCTATTTTCGACGATGGATTTCTCATCGTTTTTCAACCGGGTGCGGGATTCGAAATTTAGCTGGGTAAACCACTCTCTAGCAAAAGTGTGTTTTTGGAAAATTGATTTCTCTATATGCTAATGTTGTAAAATTTTGAGTGATATACCATTTTACTCAGAATATTTTACTGTATCAAAGTGTAGAGAAAAGAAAATTTGAAAGGTTTTCCAGAAAAAAAGGAAAAGTCTGCAAGAAATTCCGGACTAAACCTTAATTTAATTTAAATTTTTTTAAATAATTAGTAAACTTCATAGTGCTCAGCACTATGCACTTTCACTAAAACGTGGTGCTCGGCAGTATGATATGGTGCTCAGCAAGATGAAAGTGCCGGTATCGGTGTAGAAACATCGGTCGGCTAAAATTAAAATTATATTGGAAGAGTGTTGTGCTCTGCCTCACTTCTAATAGAATTGAATGCAAACTGCTAGACTTTCGGCCCGGGCCAAAACGTTCGTGGGCCAAAATTCAGGCTTCACTTTGCGTCATTATAAACCGCCATTTCGTTCATCATGTGTGTTCAGAAAAAAATGAACATAGCTATTTTGTAGCCCGAAATGGGTTCTACAAAACTACACCTTTCTTAGCCTCATCTGCTCTATCCTCACCACAAAGAACCCCGATCAGGACCAAAACGGATGATGTTGGGTGGTTAATGTCGCCTAGAGTCTTGAGTATACAATCTGTAATAGTAAAAACTATACCAACCGACACAGAAATTTAATGGAGAACACGAATATGTTATTCTTTTTAAAAGAAATGTCAAGGACAAATTTTTACCCGATAGGTGAGCATACTATGAGAACATGGTTTACTTTAGCAGGAGCCAGCTAAGCCCTGAAGTAAAAAGCCGAACGTCCGAAAACAGATTCTGATAGAGTAAGGTTAGTAGTATATACTGACAAGATTTGAAGCTTATCAACTTGCATAACGCAGAGAAATCCATCGTCGAAAATAGACACCAAAATGGCGTGCCACGGACCTCCTTAGATCGAAAATTGTTCTGAGTCAATAGATGTGTAGTACTCGTTGTCTAGCATATACCCACCAAAAATCTCGATTAGAAACGCTATTGGAGAATAACCCCAGATCACACAAAAAGTCATAAAATGTGTCGAATAGTGCGATGTATCGAGATAAAAAAGTTATTTCCGATCAATGAAACACCGCTAAAGACTAAAAATTTCAGAATATACTCAACTTTAGTAGGGCTACAAGCTGGTGGAATCAGAATTAAATTTTAAAAAATACATTGAGCCTGTCTGTTTAGAAATTAAGAAAAGACGACATTTGAAATATTTAATTTTAATTGAAAAATTCAAAATACGAGTAGGGATCTGAATGCTTTTTCAAATGTGATCTAAACAATTCTATAAACAATGACCGTTTTAAGAGTTGTTTAACGACTCTAGTTTTTAGAAGAGAATTAAGTTATTTATTCAAGTTTATGAAGTGAAAAACTGCGGTTTTCCAGAAAATGTACTTAGACCTATGTATGAAAAATTTCGAGACCGCCAGTCGCAAGTGCTTAGCTTGAAACGCTGAGTTTTATCGAAAACTGCTCGGTATTGTAGAGCACATGATGATATTTCGTTACAATTCAAAAACATCTACGGGGATAAAGTTTTAAAAATACAAAAATAATCCCCAAGATCGTCCCTGTTTATAGTGTGTTTGTTCGTTTAAAAAATGAATTCGCAAACCTATTCTATTACATGGAGTTAGGAAAAAGTTGGCAAAGAGAGAAAAACTGAAAACGGTTGATTAGGTGAGAAAAGTAAAGGTTTACTTGTTGCTCTTTAACTCTTTCGTTTGTATATGGCTTCTGAAAATGACTACACATTATGTTCGGATCACTCCAAATGATGGTGTTGAAATTTTAATTTTGTATATTTATATTCAGACAAAACTCCAATTCTAATTTTAAATTCAAGTTTTGACCAGTCAAAACTAAAATTGTAGTTTTGCTTAGTCAAGTTTAGAATTGCTTGAATTTTACTTTTGCCTACAGCATATACGTCTTATTTGCATAAAGCCTATCGGCTGTGGATGATGTTCCAGTATCGCCTGAAGAAACAAACACAGTTTTACCTGTTATAGCCATTTTCATAAAGTGTATATTCAGTAGAGTAGTATAAACGAGACCAAGATCCGTGTCCGGTTCACCATAACTAATGGAATAGACTAATGGCTGTTTGCTCTGTTCGATAAATGCTAATTGTACAAAAAATCCAATAAAATCTTCATCAGCAGCATTAAATATTGATGTTGATGATATATAATCGGTTGGTATATGAGAACCCATTGATGCCATATATTGCAAATCCAATGATGTTTCTGTTTCATCAGCAGTCTTATCTTTATAATGATCACCATAAACATTTCCAAGTACGAGACTTACATTTTTTCCATATGTATTTGAAAATGATTTGAATGCCTTTTTATCATAATATTCTTGAAATCCAACAATAGCTTGTCTACTACGTTTATCAGTATTGTTAACATTATTATCAACATTATATAATGATACCAATACATCTGGTGTAATCATTGTTACTTTTTCCACAGCTGATGGATATTGAGCTGTTTGTGAATAACTGTTCGGCGATTTAAATATTGTTCGAACACGAATTGTATACGCTTTATAATTGGGTATTGTTTTAGGTTCTTTTAAATTAAATCGACATAAAACATCATTATCTGCTAAACCAAATCCTCCACAATAAAGAGCTATTACAGGTGTAGCATTTTTACATATCATACAATTGCTATCGATAACTGATACATTATATTGAATTAATTGTTTGGTTGTTGAAGATTGAAGAATTATATTGAAACCATTGAATCGATTATTACATAGAGAATTGGTTGCATATTGATCATCATAACAAACTAATTGCATAATAAATGTAAACAGTGAAAAACCACTACCAATACGATATAGAATAGGTGCACTGGAATTCGATTTTTTCTCAGTGATTTGAGAATTATGACTTTTATACTTAACATAAGGATATTTATCAAAACCAACAATATGTGATACACGATGATGAATATATGTGGGTAATTGATACTGTACGGGTCTCAGCGTTCGTTGACCTGTTATTTTATGCTCATAATCGTATAATTTAGTTTGAAATATACGTTCAATAACATCAACAGTTGATTTAACAATTAAAAATTCTTTATTACGTGTTGATTTAACTTGAAGTTTTCCTGAACGTAACCATTGTTCAACATGTCGACCGTATGCAGTTGTTGCTGGTAAATATTGCTCATGTATTTCATTGTAATTCAAGTAATTTGCATAATCGTCGCATGATGGATCACTGACGTTATCAAATTTTTGTTTTAATAATTTTTCTTGTTGTTCATCATTTTTTATGACAAAGATTAAGTTGATCAACGTGAGTTTTCGATCATGTTTCACGTTATTATCATTTGTTGTTACTAATAGCCAATTATTATTATTAGGCACTGATATAACCGTTGTTTTTTCACCATAAACTATATGTGAACTAATAAATGTAATGATATGTAAAAAAGTCAATATACTATTCATTTTATATACACGCACGATTTACAGCAATGACATATCATTTATGTGTACGATCGTTCTATAATATATAAACTGCAGTGTTCTCATGCATGCGATTACCTATGTATGCGACGTCTGCAAGCAAAACATGCGTTCGTCGGATTTCATGGTCGACGTTTCATTTCACTGATTTAGTAGTAGTATATCCTAGAGTAGTACATTGCTTTGAGTCCGACAACTGTGATATATTCACTACTTTTAGTTTTATCAACATCAGTTGTATGTTGATTTAAATTATTGATTACATCCTTGATATAAGCAATGAATCAAATAATTTCTTTTCTCTTCGACACGATAGTGACAACGCCTTTTTTATGTTTCTTATTTTTTTTCGTCACTATTGTACACACACACGTGTGTATACACGTGTTTATTAAATTAAATAATAATATTTCCAGAAAAAGAAAAATAGGTGTATTTAAGTATTTTATCTAATTATGACTCAAAATCAAGCAAAGATACTAGCACAGAAAGATAATTTATGTAATTTGGATTCTCAGATAGAACTGATACAGGAAAGTATAGATGAACGAAGAGGAATAATACTTGAACGCACTTTAACAAATCAAAGTGTGCAATTTGAAAAAGAGAGTAATTCAAACTTTGAATCTAATAATATGAACGACGATGGCGAATGGACAACAGTCCAAACGAAGCAACAAAGAAAAGAAACACATCAGGAACATGTAAATAAGCAAAAAGAATTCGTCTATGGCGACAGAATTTTTAATAATTCGGCAATGAATCAAGGAAATAATAAGAATGACAATAGTCGAACGTCTATTCCTCAACTATTACATGATTCTCGAAATGACTCACATGAACGAATTCAAATTTCTTCACATGCAATTCATTATGCCACTGATAATTTACTTCCATCGATTAAATTTGTATGTATACCAAAATTGCAAAATTCGAAAGAGGGGGGGAAAATTATCCAGGAATTGACTGAATCAATTGAAACAAACTTTCGAGCGGAAAATAAAAACTATTCGAAATCTTTGGCATTTGGTGTGTGGTATGTTGATTTAAATGAGGACTTGATTTGTCTTACGAAGTCAGCACAAATGTTTGTTTATTTTTGCAAGGCTGAAAATTTACTGTTAAAAATTTTGG